AGTCCCAGGTTCCTTGTTTTCCTGTCTTTACTCACTAGCTCTATGGCCTTGATAAAATTCTCTCACTTCTGTGTCTCAGTTTTCTCATCTGTAAAATGGGATATTAATTCATATTTCATAGAGAGGTGGGTGGGTGTGCACAACAGGAGACTTTTCAGACATTCATTTCTTAGTGAAATATCACCTTACACGTTAGGCACTGCCTGATATAGTGTCATCATTGCCCCCAGGTCTGAGCCCTAAGGCGTTAGTGCCTCTTGCGGATGGAACCACAGACGGGGGGCTTAAAACAACACACATTTACTACTTTACTGTTCTGGGGTTCAGCAACCTAAACTGGGTCTCACAGAGTTAAAGTCAATGTCCCTGGCACCTGGTACATTCTACCTTTCTGCTCTCCTCACTGGTGTTTCTCCACACCTGTCTCATTTAGCCTTGCTAGTTTCCTTTTCTGCTTATTTCCCTCCCCTCCAACTAGACCTGAGGCTCCCAGAGGATGAGGTTTTGTCTGCTTTGTTCATTACTGTACCTTCCACACTCGGAGCAGTGCCTCGCACGGAGCCGGCACTCGTGAGTAAGTGAGGAGCATAGACAGGCAAAGGCCTTAGAAACAGACTCAGGTTTGATCCCAGCTTTCACAGGTAATTCCTGTGTGATCCTCGGAAAGTTACTCAACCTTGCTGAGCTTCCAGGATCCCCTTCTGCTAAGTGGGGGTGACAGTAGTGCCTAACTCACAGGGTTGTGGAGAGGATTATATGAATTAATATTTTCAAAGTACTCAGAACCGGTACAGGCTAAACACAATATAGTGTTTAGTAGTAATATTATTTATCAAATGAGTGAAAACAGGTGTCACCCCAAACAATGTGAGCAACTTGTGAGCAAGATCTTTGGTTCATTCCTCAAACCTTCTTGCTCCTTCTAATACAGACTTTTGTACTTTTATGAATATTGGAGGGGCATCACACACACACACTCACACACGTATATGAAAGCACTATGTCTAAGTACAGGCACTGGGATATAACAGTCTGCATCCCAGGCAGTGCCTAACGTGTAAGGTGATATTTCACTAAGAAATGAATGTCTGAAAAGTCTCTTGTTGCGCACACCAAACAAGTCAGTCCAAAACTAATGACATGGCCATCGGCTGCTAAAATGTTTGCTGCTGGTATTAGTGGAGAGAAGTGGTGCGCCTGCGCGTTAAGGCGCGTGAGGGAAATGAATGCAACACAATTATAGTCATCAGTCATTAGTGAACGTTGTAGTTCGTTATTAATAATTATGTATAACAGGGTATTATAAAAATTAAGTTGCAAAATTTTTATTAAAACGTTTCTTACATACTGTTATATTGCCTGGGCCGCAAAAACATTTGTTGTGGGCCGCATGCAAGTCACCTCTTCAGAACTTCCTTTATTTTAGCTTTAGTCTCCTCCAGGGTAGGAAGAAAAATTTTGCATGGCTCACAATGCTTAAAGATTTTTCTTCCTACCCAGATAGAAGGAAGAAAATTGTCCAGGTCAGATTCTAACTCAGGAAAGTTAAAAACCATCCCTTGTGTCTGGATATTGTCCCTCCCACTCCCTTGCAGCAGATGCTGGTTATTTTGTAGCTGGAAGACAGACTGCCTTGTTATGTCTCTTTTTGGGCCAAAGGCCTTTTGCCAAAATAGAGGTGGTTAAAAAGGGCGGGGGGGTGCTCCACAGAGACAGTTGCGCACGGTCCAGTGCGTGGACAGATGGGCATCAGTGGGCTTGGTCGGGGCTCCCAGCTGACACCAGCCTCAGTCAGAATGTCAGTTGCCACTGGAAGTGCGGTTCGTGGGTGGTTCGTACTATCAGGGCCCAACACCTAGCAGCTCTCCCATCTGCAGTGTGATTATGAGGGGAGCAGCCATTCGGCGGGTGGGCGGCAGTGCGAGGAAAGGGGGCCAACCAAAAGGAGAAGACTGATCACAGCTTTCCTCTCCTCTCCCCTGCCCCCCCCCCACACACACACACACACACACGCCCCCGGGGGGCGGGGGGGGGGG